CGCACCTGATGGTCAAGAAAGGACCTATAGAAGTATCTGTGAGAGCGGAAACTCTGATTGCAGCCCTGACAGGGGTCCTATTTACTTCACTTTATTTACCATTTCGAAAATGAGTAATCTATCCCGCTCGGGAATCCATATTCCCTCCTACATCGCAACTCTCACTCGGCGCTTGCTCACCCCTTCCGGCTCTGACGCTCAATAATTTTCATAATTCCCAATCACGCGAACGACCTGCAGTATTTCCTAACATCGCTGAAAATTTGAGCGCTCACTTCCAAGTAGTCCAAATCGACGTAGTCGACCGCCCACGTTATCCACAACAGAAGTACTTCCACATGCGGTTGAAGAAATTCAGGCCATGCCACGTCTGAAAATGATAGACCTCCTCTGTGAAGTGACCGATAAAGCAAGCACATCTCAAAAATTGAAATAGAGTACCGGAAATAAATATAAGAAATTTTCACCTTGTATTGCTTGGATCAGGTTGGATATGGCCATTACACAGGTCCGCCCCCTGCTGGGTGTATTAGACTTATTTCAAAGGATGTATATTCACTAAATGGACGAATGAAGCTGAGGTACTGGAGGTGTTTAGTACACAGTTAAGAAGTGAGCATAAAAGCAATCAATTCTTTATTCAATTGACAATATATTACAAGTGATTACGAAAAAATCTACAATGGTAAAAACCGTAGAGTAAGAATCGAGCTAGGGCCTAGAAAGACAAAGGTGGCACTGAACTATGAGGCAGACACTTTTTCACTCGCGCTTTCCTTCCAGTTACCGGTATCGTAAATTGAGACCGCCGCTTCGTCCAATATTAACCTGAAATATCACTCCCTCATAGAAATGTCGAACATGGCATGCAGTTAGAAAATATATAGTACAATAACAGCTCACGGTTTTGTTTCAAGCATATTTTTTTCAAAATACAATGCGTTTAATTCCTACCCAGGGAACAGTAATGAGGGAACCAGACTTGCCTGAGAGGATAAAGACACTACTTGTACATCGGCTGGCCACCGCAAGTCATTGTATAGGCCACATCGCATTCAATAAGCCACTACGATTCTGAATGGAAGTAGGAATGCGAGCCACATCCCCGAAGAGATTTGTTAACGACGATGCTTTTATCCTTTGTCCCTACTTCTCGTACTTCTATTCCGAAGAACATCAAAGCAGCTCCGCCACAGTAGATAAGCTGTTGTTGTACTAGTACAGCCGCCTGGCTCACCCGCGATTCGCATTTCAGGTCTCGGATCGGCTCCTGCCCAACATAATCGAGGCTTCCACACGGCACTAATAGGGTTTAAAGTGGTATGGGATGATACAACCACCAAATAATCGCATAGGCCAACTTGTATTCAAAGCGAGTACTATTCTCGAGGCACAAAGGGCGTGGCACTCTACGAGACGAGATAGATCGATACTTGTTGAAAACTTAATCCTTTGTAGACATTGGTATATGTAATAGTTTGATAAAAGGTAGCTATGAAACATATTCAGTAATCGAATCTATTGGTGTCACATCATGGGCGAATAGATTAGATGGTTAACAAAATCTAGCGTAGGGTTGACCTGCACTGAAGAAAAAGGTCGGCGGCTTAAATAAAATGAGCAGGGAAATATGAGGAAAATCAACTCACTGACCTTATCTTCGCCGTGACAAAAGGTTCACTTTCACTATCTCTTACAGCCATGACGTCCATGTAGCCGCCAGATATCGTTCCTGTCACTGGAATCCGCAACTGTAATAACTTTGGACGTATTGGTCGGAAAATTATACGTTATAAATTTTTCATAACCCGAATGCAGCACATACCTAATCCTTTAATTTGTATGTTTTACTCAGCTCCCTGAAGCACTTATGTGGGAACCTTTTGTACTGCTCCACCCTTTTTTGGAATTCAGTGCAATTTCAATTGCTGCCTGAAGAAAAGTTCACGTAATTTCGCAACTCACCATGCTCGTAGTTTTCCCTACATAGTTGTGCAGGCGATCTGCTAAGTCAACTGATCCAATCTTGATTGGTGGGCCTAACGCTTCCTAAACTAAATATGTGAAGACCATGCAAAAAGTGCCTGTACACTCAAGTACGGAAACCGTTTGACCGGTGCTTCATAATTTCGGAAAAAGTCAAAGAGGGATCAGCTCACTTTTGCTTGCTCGTGTTGAGCGACAATTTTCAAGCTTTCCACGTAATGAGGAAGATTCCGCACTCTGCGCTGCACAGATTTCTGCGCCAGATACAGCGCTGTTGATCCCACTAAAAATCCTCCAGCAGCAATCTTGACTAACGTGGCCGTTTGAACCTAAATAACAGGAAAGTGAGCAACTGGTATAAAGCCGAATCAAATCGAAGGAATTCAAAATCGACTAAATAACATCTTTCAGAATATTTCCATACCATTGAAATAAAGAGCTCACTAACGAGTCAGGGTAGAGGCCTCAACCGTCTGCTCGTGCATCCAGGCTACGAACTGCCTGATAAAATGAGAAATTAAATCTTTCTGGGTTATAAATTAGACCAGACATTATATGGTGATGACAATGTTGGTAAATTGTTTAAGAGAATCTTTATTGGGATAAAGAAATGCGATCAAAGCACATGGAATACTGAGATTACAAGTGAGCAATAAAACATCGATCTTCCTATCTTATCTCAAAGATGAACTGTAGCAAACTTCCGTGGATCCTAGTTCTTGCTTTGTGTAGGAAGAATGGGACTGCAACTGCACTAGTGTGCCACTTTCGTTGGTAAAAAAAGGACAGGAACACAGATAGAGAGTAGACACCCGGCCACCGACTCCCGACCCCATCTGTGCTGCTGCACCGCGCCTAACCATGGCCAATCGCGCCACTTGTCTGCACCCTCCTATTTCTGGTTGTTCTCTAGCGCGTGAAAAGGGTTCGTTGCGGGACCATGGCCGACGCAAGAGCTGCACCTTGAAGGCATTATGGACGGAGAATGGTGACGGCACTCGTGTGCTA